CTTGTTGCTATAACATATTCTGTTGTGCAACATAGCGACGACTGTAAAATCAGTTCATTCCCTGAGAGAATCCTTAATGAAACATGGTAAATCAAACTAATTAAGCATGAAACATGGTCAATTAAACCAACATCAGCTTTAGTTCAGGAAGCTAGGCCCCTGGTAAACTATCTGTCCATGATGCACAGCTTGCTGCAATGATTCAACCTTCTAGTGTTCCAGTTCCCTGGCACCTGAAGGCAAAACAAAAAGCATAGGGCCAGTTACGGCGTTAGCTAAAAGGTTTTTCATAGAACATGGTGGATCCTCACTCAAAGTAGTCTTCATCCTGTTGCAGGCTTTCCTTTTTGGTTCAGAGTAACTTAGCTTTTCTGTACTTGAATGGGAATAATACCTATTTTTGGAAAGGACATGGAGATGCCTCATGAAAGGCTCAGAGGTAAACCCTTCAGCAATGAGTGGCTCATGCTTATGAATTGTACATCACAAATATCAACCCCATGAAAGGAACAAATAATGGAAATATGAGGCAAGTAGATTATAGTCTTCTGGCAATGGGTGACTGATGCAAATTCTTGTGTTTTGGAGTCCAACCTTCACTTGTTGATTAATGGTGTCCCCACTTCCCTCTTGCTGAGCTCACTGTGTGTCTCCTGCAGCCACAGTAAGAACCTCTTAAGTTAAAGGGAAGCCTCTCGCAAGCGGAGTTGTGTGTGTGTGTGTGTGTGTGTGTCTCTCCTGAAAGTTCTCCCAGAAACACTATGCCATTCTGTATTAAATACCTAACTCTTTCCTCTACTCTGACTATCCAAGCCTGGATGCCCTGTGTCTGTCTTGATCCGTTCTGATGAATACCAAAGAAAATTAAATGTAGATTTCTGAGGCTGTAGAGCGAAATACACTTTCACAGTGCCCAGCATCATATAATAATGAACCACAGGGAAAAGAAAACAATGGAAAAACCACAGGAGAAACAAATTTCAGTGTACTCACTGGAATGAGCCAAAGCCTCTTGGAGAGAGGATGGCTGGGACAGCAGCCAAGTTCAGTACTAGTTGTGGGTCAACTACAAGCACTCCCTTATAGCTTATGCACTGTATTCAACAGCAATTGCTTATCCCAGTAAGAGAGTGAGCATGTTAGAAGGGTGCTAGTATCCCATCCCACAATTTTCCCACTCTCTTCTTTGGGGCTCCAAATGACTTGAGCATTTCTCTGCTCAGTTCAGTTATGTGGTATAGATTTCATGTTTGTTTGTTTTTAATAAAGCTCTAGGTCTTCTGCCTAATTCAGAAAGTGCCGTCAAACCAGTATCTAGGCTCTTAGGAGAAGAACGAGGAGATGCTGTGAATATTGTAGCATGAATATTCTCTCACTTTGTCTTACTGTTTGGAAACTTTACTTACAGTATTTTGCACAAGTTCCAAAACAGATTATATCTTTGCCAAAAACCTAATAAAATAACAACTTCTAGGTTTTTTCCCCCTTATCCAATACTTTCCAGATAAATACAGCAATCACTTTAAGACCAGCTGTCCCACAGTCTCTTACTGCTAAAGTGACAGAATGCCCAGAATTAGCGAAAGGAAGTAACAATTTTGATAGCAAGTTCAATTCTATTTAGAGATTTCAGGTGATCTGTTCAAATCTAGGTCTTGCTTTAGGTCCATCACTAAGTACTGACACCTCAGGGTGGGGTTTTCTAAAGCACTCAGCTTTGGCCTAACTCTGCTCCCAAGGAAATCAAGCTGAGTGCTTTTTCAAAATCCCACTGTGAAATTTCGTCTGTGTAGTAAAGCACAATAATGCTTTACTAGAAGAAACAGCACACTGCAAATACAGCTAGAATGCGAGAAGTAATGTTTGGAAACAGATGATGTAAAACAAACTTTAGCAGTAATTAATCACGGGTATGAGTTTTGTAATTAGTTCAACCAGGTACTGAGCAGGGTGCAGGGTAGTACTTGTAATGAACCAGCTCTAGATGGAAATGTACCAATGGGAATGTAAATACAAATTAAGCTTTGTAACTGAGGGAACTGAAATGTGAATGGATCAACCAATGAATAACAGCAATATAAACATTATTTTCAGGTACATAGAACACTAGGGTAGCTGTCCAAAGGGTTGATGAGAACTTTGGGAAGTGGAGGAAAACTAAATGCACCATAGACCCTGGAACAGAGTGACAGGTGAACAGCAAAAGCCAGAAGTTGGTACGATTCAATGGTGGAATGATCAGCAAGAAATGTTAATCCTGGTGGTGGGTTCTGTTAAATACCTACAAATATTGGGGTTAAACAAAATAGATATTTCACATATCCCTTGACATGAGCAGAAAATGATAGATTGGAACTGGAGATGAACTTTCTGACTGCAAGATAATTCACCTCAGTCAAAATGCATACCTGCAATGGTACGCCCTGGTCATTAACCAGCCAACATTATTATTGTCTGAAACATATTTGACTGTACCACATGCTGTTCTCTTCCTCCCTTATCTCATGACTAAACTCATATGTACACAGATGGGCAATTGAAGTTTTTAAAAAAAGGATTATAAAATCTTCAGGGCAGGCACGTTGTCATCTTTTATGTCTGTCACTTAGCATACTTCTGGCTGCTTTATTTTCTTTACAGGAATCATTGAGCTGAGTGCATACACGGACACGCATTTGCAATGAGAATTCAAAAGGGGGACCCGTTGAAAGGCTTCCCGTTCTCCAGGCACAGGTTATTTTGATTTAGAACTAAGGTTGGCCCCAGGATTCCTACATCCCTTCTCTTCTAGTTGGTGAGAGGTTTATAAGCAGAAAATAACTCCCAGTGTACACAGTTCTGGTTTCTATTAATACTCAGCTTGTACATTTGGGGGCCAAATCTGTAGGAAGCGGCCTCCAAGTACACAGTTTTTGAGGATTAATAGCTGTGCATGTAATTGTTAGAATTTCCCATCTGCACATGCAGGTGTTAATCCTTGAAATGTGTGTGTGCAAAAATTGGGGCTCAACTAAGTCCTTTGTGAAAACTTGGCTTTTGGAGAATGTCTTCATCTCTAATAGCCCTCTGGCATGGTATATTCACTCTGTTCATAACCAACTGTATTTAGCTGTCCCACACTACAGACCTCAAATTACCTCTATTCCACAGACACATGGATAATACTATACATGGTTGGTAACAGGAACAGCTTAATAATAAAATTTTCTCTCAACTTTCTAATAAAGGTTCATCTCATCATTTAAAACTTTCTGCTCCACCAGTGGTTCTTGTGGTCCTATATTTGGTCCTCCCGCATGCTTGAAAGCTATGATACTGGTGGTGGCAGCTAGCTAAAGATGCTCTTGGTATTGGGGATCAGTCTGGTGTGTCTCTTCCCCTCATTTTATTTGTAATAAATGAAAACAATCCCCATAGAGTGGCATATTAGAGGAGTGGAGATAGAGCACTGCAGCAGCCGTCACATGATTAGCTGTTGCTAAACTGCCCTTTAAACTGATTTTATTGTTTTAGTGCATCTTATAAAAGTGACTTCCAAACGTGAGTAGCACTGAGGTAAAAGGAGGAGTTGCAGAGCTGTAGCCGCTAACTCTTCCCCTCCTTTTTGTAGAGACAAAGACTAACCCCAGGATAAGAGAGTGCAGAAATGGGACGTTACTCAGGAAGAAGCAGCCGGCTCATTTTAATGTGCGCTGTGAGCCTTGTGCTTTTTGTGGTGGAGATAGCAGTAGCGTACATTGGTAATTCCTTGTCTCTAGCTTCTGATGCTTTTGCCGTCCTATCTCACTTTATCTCCATGGTTATCGGTTTACTCGGCGTCCGGTTCAGCCGCATTAGGTGGCACAAAAAGGGCACGTTTGGCTTCCCCCGGGCAGATGTGGTAGGTGCCTTTGGCAATTCCATCTTTGCCACTGCTCTGATGTTCAGCATCCTAATTGAGGCAATTAAGAGGTATCTCAATCCACAGAAGACCGAAGAGGCACTGATTGTCCTCATTGTTGGACTTGTAGGTCTATTCTTCAATGTGCTTAACTATGTTGTCTTTATGGACTGCTGTTACTGTGAGGCATCCGTTGTCCAAGAAGACACTGAAACAGGTAAATAAGCTAATGCACTTTCTAGACTGTCCAAAACCAGCCTTCCAAAGCACTATTTGACAATTAGCCTGGTGACTACTTGCCATTTCTTTGTGATGAGCAAGTAAAATATTAGTTTTTTTACCATAATTTTGGTAATGGTGGGGAGTAGATTGTGTGCCTGAGCTGATAAATATTAATGCTCATTTTACAAGGCTTCTATCACCACATCTGTTTCCTAATGCATGTCTCAAGTAAATGGTGTCCCAGTTATGTACTTGACCTTTGGTAAGCTATCAAACAATGAGCAAGTGGGGAAAATTCTCTTTTTTCTGTGTTACCAAATTGGAATCAGGGTCTATCATTGTCCTAGTGAGAGATGAATTGTCCAGATTTATCAGAAAGTCAGTGCTTGAGCCTGAGAGATGCTGATCACCCACTGGCTTAATTGAGACCTCTGAATGCTCAGCATCTCTGAGGTTATCACCGGTGAGCAAGCAGGGATAATTGTAAATACTGCAACAAAGCTGTAATAGTTTTTGTCCAAGGCACGTCTGAGAAGTGTTTAGGGTTTGTATGTCAATATAAAGGACTGACTAATGGTAAGAGGAGAATTCTAAGCCTACCAATTTATTAAATAGTTAAAAGAAATGTTTTTTAAAAGTCTGCAATTTGTTTTACCAGAGCTTATTTCAGAGGTGCTGTTTGTTACAGCAGATGTAGGAGACTCAAAAAGAGCTAGTAAGAGGCATGATTTACAAATTAGGAGAGAAATATGGATTTTCTATATAAATCTCTCTCCTTCCAATGAACATTCTGTTTATACTGTGATTACCAAGAGTATTACCATGGAGTCCTGGGCGCTGCGCAAACATAGAACAAAACAATTGTTCCTGCTCCAAAGAGCTTACAATCTTAGTATAAGAGAAGAGAAAACAGATGAATACAGCCAGAGTGAAAAGAAACAATGAGACAATGTTGGTCAGCATGATAGACAGCGATCTCAGCACACCTGGCACAAACCATTCACGGCGGTCGGCAAAGAACTTACAGAAGGTGTTTTTGACAAAGTGGTACAGAGGAGCTACCGTATGTTCATTTATTTTCTTAGAAGATTTTTTTTAATGTTTAAAAGAGAGAATTTCCCCTCATTTGCTCTTAATTTTTTAGAGCAGCTAGTCTATTCTATTTGACCAAAGGTGGCAAGATCCCCCTTTAAAAAGCGGAAGGGGGAACATGCATTTGATAGAAATTCTGCATCAATCAATCAATCAGCATCTTGGGGAAAAAGCGGAAACACACAGTGGGATAAAACAACTAGTTTTATAAACCATGTTCTAGATGAGGTAAGATGTTGGCTTTAAAGAAACAGACAAATGATGTTGAAATCTTATCATTTTAAGGTCCCATCTATACTGTCACCTCTTATCCCCTCCTACCCAAAAAACCCTGTGAAAACAGTTCTGTAACATGGTTGTGGCTAAAATCATAGCTGGCTCTATGGATTGGTGTGGGGGGGGGAATCCAAAATCATGCAAGGGAGATATGTTTTAAACTTGTCTAAATATAAATCAAAGCATGATTTCTCTAACATATTTGTTATTTCTGTCTACAAATGCAAGAATTAATCTTGTTTATAGCATGGTTTGTCCACAACTGTTACAGTATCATGGTTATAGATTGGGATTCTAACAGTTTCTTTCCTAGTGTAGACAAAGACTTATTATGCATCCCTCTCTGCATATAAATTATCAGCAGAGACAGTCGTCTAAAAGTGCAGGCTCTAAACATTAAAGGGATAGATACAGACTGAATTTGGCTCAAAGGTTTCAGCTAACAGCATTATTATGATGTTTTCTATTCTATATTTATTTGCATTCTTAATCTTTTGTGTGTGTCCAGTTGATATGTAGGTTATTTCTGTTCACAGTTAAAGACCCACTAATGTCTCCTAGTCACTTTTGGAAAAGAATTCTGGCCCAAATCTCTCAAATTCTGCACACACTTACTGGTGCCTAATTATTCATTTGCATTCACAACTATGACAATCTGAGCCTCTGCTAGCCAGATAGTCTCCATATATGCTTAATTTGAATTAGCAGGGATATTTAACACCAGCTTTCTTACTTTAGGGCTCCATCAGATTCTACTGCTTGTTCTGCACCAGAAATTCTAGTCCTAAATTTGTGATGGCATAATAGTTTGTTACGGGAATGACAATGTCATCCGAAGCACAGCACAATGACTATAGGTGAACAATGAGCAACAGATAAGTGATTAAAATTATAGGCAGATATTTTCAAAAAGAAGTAGGGGACTTGGCTTCACATTGAAATTAAAGGGAGCTGTGTGGCTAAATCCCCCGGGTCAACTTTTTGGAAATCTCGGTCAAAGATACTGGTTTTTATAAAATGCTTAAGTTGGAAAAGACAATCCACTGCTCGCCATTCCTTCAAATAAAAACACAGGGCCAAATTCAACTCTGGGAAATACAGTGTAACTTCCATTGACTTCAGTGGGATTTCAGTGGCTTAAGCTGGATTTGATCCGTGTACTGTAGGCAAAATTTGTAAATGGTCTGGTTTTGTTTTTCTGTTTTCTATAAGGTGGCAGTGGTTCTTTAATACCTGGACTAATACAGATGCAAATCTTTTTCAAAAACAAGATGATAAAATGTTACAATGTATAGTGAGAACCACTGTCTGTCTTATTTTTCATCCCTTTTTTCCTGCCTTTTGCAGGTGCATAGCCTCGCTGAAAAATTCAAACTTATTTTCTCTGAGAATAAATACATAGGATCCTATTTTGATTAAGCTAAAAGAATTAAAGATGCTTATTTTTAAATGGAGTTCTACTCTGAAAAGTGCCAGTGTATATGTATAAAATCTAATTATTATATATATAATGAATACATGGGAGTTCCATATCTCTCTTGATAGTTTTCTATATTAAATGTGGTCATTTTATAAGTAGGTGATCCAAATGTCTTCATATTATACCCTCAGTAACACCTGTGCAATCCATTTCTGTCAATGAACATAGGTGCTGGGGGTGCTACTGGTTTCCATCATATACTGGGTTTACAGTTTGGTTCAATGGCTCCCAGTCCCCCGCTATCCAAATTGTTCCAGCATCCCTGTCTATGAGTACTGACAAATCACTGAATGGAATTTCATGTATAATCCTGTTGAGGCACAAAATGAATAGTATCCAGCTTTCTCTCTTAGTTGGCTTTGCTCTGCAGGCCTAACATACATTTTAAAAACCGCCGCTCAATCTGATTCTGAATAGACAAAGGAACAACTTGGTTATGGAAAGGTGCCATTGTTATACAGTCACTTTTCAGAGTAGAACTGCACGTTAAGAAGCCCCTGCTGTTCTCAGACATACAAAAATAGACTTGGGTAGTGTCCTCAAACCCTTTTAGGGCATTTCTTATATTGTAACATTGCTGATTACCCAGTCCTGCCATTGTTCCACTTGCTGAACTCTCACTAAAGCACATGGGAGTTTGTTCGTGGACCAGTCAGTATTGGAATAAGACCTATATTTCTGTGTTGTGTTGAATATAGTTGGCTCATTCTCAGTACTTGCTATGTTAGATTGATGTTTGTTTATATTTCTATTTGTAGCTCTGAAGGTCGATAGCGATACCATAATCCAGGGTTGTTTTTTTACAGCACAGTGGCTTCTGTGATAATAAACTATGGTGTTACTGAATGAGGCTGAACCACAAAATATGTTTCAGTTCATTTGGTTTTCATTTTTATCTTCCACCATCATCTCTTAATAAAAAATGAGTTTGGGGGAATCAGTTGGGAACCATTTAAGACTCTTTATCTAGGAAGGGGGTACTCACCATTTATTGCACTGACTAGTTGGCCTTTTATCAATTAGTAACCATGCTGCTTTTAGTAAGAAATATAAATTCAGTGGTGGGTAAATCAGCTATGCACAAATATTTTAGAGATTCAGCTGTCAATATATATATGTACTTTATATAATAAGCCTGATCCTTCAGTCCCTACCTGGCAAAAACGCCACTGAAAGAGCTGACTTGCAAGATCAAGCCCACTGAGACTCAAAACAAAATAATATTGCTGGTAAATTCTCTCACAATAACAATAGAAGAAGACACTTCTTATGACAGGCCAACATCCTTCTGATCTTTTATCTTAAATGTTCATGCATAGCCTCTGCTTTCTGCTGTTCTAGGAGAGGCCTAAGCATGTAAAAATGGTGCAATGGTTCTGAACCTCCAAAATTAACTTACTTTGGTCAGTTGTGGGTCTGGTGTTGTTCGGGGAAGAGATTTGTTTCTCACCTTGATAGACTTGGCTGAGGTACAAGTGAAAGGGTTGCCAACTTTCTACTTGCACAAAACTGAACACCCTTTCCCCGCCCCCTGCCCCTTCTCTGAGGCTGGAGCCCTTCCTCCGCTCACTCCATCCCCCACTCCCTCTGTTGCTTGTTCTCCCCCACCCTCACTCAGTCACTCATTTTCACCAGGCTGGGGCAGGGGTTGGGGTGCAGGCTCTGGGGTGGGGCCAGGGATGAGGGGTTTGGGGTGCAGAAAGGGGCTCGAGCCGAGGGGTTCAGGGTATGGGAGGGGGCGCTGGGCTGATGCAGGGGGTTGGAGTGTGGGAAGGGGTATGGGCTCTGGGCTGGGGGTGCGGGTTCTAGGGTGGGGCCAGAAATGAGGGGTTCAGGGTGCAGAAAGAGGCTCAGGGCTGGGGCAGAGGGTTGGGGTGCAGGCTGTGAACTCCAGGAGGGAGGTTGGGTGCAGGAGGGGGCCCCAGACTGGGGTAGTGGGTTGGGGTGTGGCATCCAGGAGGGAGTTTGAGTGTGGGAGGGGGCTCAGGGCTGGGGCTGAGGGTTGGGGAGCGGGTTCTGGGTGGTGCTTACCTCGGGGGAGAGGGGGGCCTCCCTGGAAGCGGTGACATGTCCCTTGGCTCCTAGGCATAGACAGCCAAGTGGCTCACAGGGTGGGGGCGGCGCGCGGAGCCTCCCTCACTGCCCCTGTGCCTTGGAGCCTCAGGGACATGTCGCCACTTCCAGGAACTGTACAGAGCCGAGTAGGAAGCCTGCCAGTCCTGCTAACTGGACTTTTAACAGCCTGGTCAGCAATGCTGACTGGAGCCGCCAGGGTCCCTTTTTGACCGGAACCAGTCGAAAACCAGACACCTGTCAACCCTAACAAGTGATCTAACATGAGAGGTCAAGCATGTACGTCTCTTGGCTCTGATAAGGAAATGTTGTTTGCATGGTGCCTGTGTAAGTATGCTTCATTTTCTGTGATAAACCTGATATTGTGGCCATGTTAAAGGAGTGAGAGGCATATTGTATAAACACCTATGGCTTCTATAATATATATTGTAGAGTATGATGTGTTTTTAAGGGGGAAAAAAGCATTGAGGCTAGTTTTGTAAGCTCTTTTGTGCAGGACCATGTCTCTGCATGTGTTTGAACGGTATGTTAAAGGAACATGAGTCAAGCACTCAAAAGTTAGGGAATACCAATAGTAAGGTTGCAGGGGCAACCTTAATTTGGCCCCCTTGTGGAGACGTATCATGATGGTCTTTAATTACGTGGTCCACATTCCATTTTTCCACAGGACCCCTACCTCATTCAGCGCACAGGATGGCCAGCGCTCAGTGCATGAGCAGCTATTTTATCCTCATTGTTCAATGTGTGGTCCCAAGCTTTATTTACTGCATACTATTCAAACCATGCTTGGAAGGCAGAATTATTAATGTCCTTAAGGGCATTCCTATGGAGTTCATCACTACAGTATCTGAGTACTTCACAAACACCCCTGGGGGCTTCATGTCAGGGATGTGTCTTTTGCCATTCCAAGGAAAATCTGCCCATATTTGGCCAAGTTATGAGCCTTTGAAAAATAATTTAGTTTGGCAAAGTCATAAGCAACTGAAAACAGTAACTTATAGTGGGAAGTGTCAGGCAACCTTAATAGGCAGTATTATCTGACCCACCTATAATATTTACTTATATAGGAGTTTACTTATTGTACAACTTTTTCAGGTTATTCTTGTATATCTAGCAAGGTATATGTAACTATTTACTTCTATGTGACTAAGTAGCTTTCCCTGGACAGCTAGTGCACTGACGCTCGCTTGGTGGATGCACTGCGTTACAGGGAATTACTGTGTCCCACTGTGTATGACTCAAGAAAAGCAATAAATATTGAATTGGAGAAAGCATTTTTCCTGTCTTCCTTCATGTACTTTGGCTATGATTTTTTGTTTTGGTGGAAACAAAATCTGTTAGATCTGTTTATAAAATGGCTGGGATTGAAGGGGCAAATCTAATCTAATGATCACCTTAGAATGAGCAACAATTCATTAACTAGAATATGAAAATATGCATTTTGTAGTTACAGCCATGTGGTGGTGAGCCCATACACTTCAGCAAGTACAGTTTTGGTGCTGTGCGTATACTTCTTAGATGATGGAGAACACTCACAATGCGCTAGAAACCTCCATATGAGATTGGAGATGGCATGCGAGCCAGAGGCCAAATGGAATACATACTGTGCTTTTCCTTGGCCCACAGAACCTAAGTTTGTTGAATTTAAGGCATACTGCAAGACTTACCTATTTTTCCAGGCCTTTGCAGAGGAGGTTAAGCTGAGGGGTATGCTAATGGGCTACGGTGAGGTGTCATTAGCTCTAACAGGTTGGGTAGATGGGAAGGTTTTATAATTGATACAAATAATTCATTAATGTTTTTTATTACATATTGCTTCTGCCGTGATTGGGGCATTTTTAAATCAAAAAGTAACTACGTGGCTGACATACATTCCAATGCTGCGTGGTATCCCATTTGAGATTACACATACACAACTTAACAGTTGTAGAAAAACAATTGCTAGAGCAAGTGGACCTGCTGCTGAGTTCATTTTTGGAAAACTCCCACTGACTTTAGTGGAACCAGAATTTTCCGTAAGGTTTGGTATTTGAGAAGAAAAATCTTTGAGGGAGACTAACTGAATCAGGGGATTAAGTTATAATACCATGAATTTACAAAGCCATTTCATCCATAGAGCTCAAAGAACTTCACAAAACAGGTACTCATTTTCACAATTTTTTCTAGATGGGGAAACTGGCCCAGGGAAATTGACATGCCTGAAGTCACACAGCAAGTAGAGAACCTCCCACTTCTAGCTCAAAAATGAAGCCCAAATTAGTAGTTATTAATAATTTGTATTGTAGTAGTGCCTTGGGACCCAATGACTAATTTGGTTCTCTATTATACTAGTCATGTTCCACACTTGTCATAAGCACACAGAACCTGCCCCAAAGAGCTTTCAGTGATGTAGTAGCTGCTTGGTGTATGTGACATTGGTGGTCTCTCTCTGGTTCCTACCTGCCTGGTATCCACAACACAACTGGCACTAATCTGCATCCTTTGTGGTGGTCTCAGCAGCAAGGCTGTTACTTTCCAGGTCAGAGTCGAAACATATTAAGAAGTGTGGAGAAGTTGTACTGCCACTGTCTGTTCTTGTATCTGTTCAGTGACTAGGGAGGCCTTCAGGCTCTAAGATTGTTAATACAGAGATTTTCATGAGCACTAAATTAATCTATATTTAAAAAAGGGAAAAATGTCCATTGTGTGTACTCACTGGCTTATAAACACATGATTGCACCAGCTTGATGGCCTGGAGAAATTTTTAGTGAGTGTAAAAGACCACCAGCTATAACAGCTGTAGCAATCATGCATTACAGCAGCAATTCTACAATCACTACAGGTATTTCCAACTGTTACAAGCAAAATAGAACAACCATGGCCTGGAGAAACACTGGCTGCTCTCTCTTATTCTTTGTTTTTTATTATTTGTATCACAGTAGCTCTCAGAAGATGCAATTAAAAACAAGGTGCTGTTTGTACTCTCAATTTGTTAAAGTTGAGATTTGACAGAGTGTGAAACTCGATGATTAAAGTGTCTATTCCTGACTTTTGATATACATATGTAATTTCTATTAACACTATTGCATAGGGTGTTTACATATGCTTATCAAGGGGGGAACAGATAATGAAGAGAATTTTTAAATCGGGTATTATGAAAGAAGGAAACTACAGAGGCCAAGGGAAGCCTCCGTGTCAATTTTTCTCAATTGCCTCGAGAGTATGATGAAAGAAAAACCTAGTCTGACCCAAATCCATATTACTAACATACGACAGCCAGTGTACCAATAAATGACACATACAAGATAAATGGCACAGAGCTATTAGTAGTCACAAAGACTAATCAAAATGGACTGATAAACCAATACGTTGTTTTCCTGTGGCATTTCACATCTTATAATTGTAGTTGGGGATGCAATTAAGGCCAAAAATGGCCTAGATTTTTTTGTTTTTAAAAAGGGGGACCCCCAAACTCTCATATTTCTAGGTTGCTGTATATGGACAAAGTAGTTTCCATTTCTTTCACATCAGCTTTTCTTTCTGCATTCATCATCACATTCTTCACGCTATCAGTGCTTCCAGTCTTTTTCTAGAGTAATTTGAAAGCTCCTCAGCCTTAACCTAGAGTCCAGAGTTCTTATCGTGAAATAGTTCCATTTGTTCTCCTCAAAAAGTAACTCTCCAATTCTGAAAAACAGAGCTGAAAAGCTTTGTATGCTTTCTGAAGGGGGCAAAAATCCTACCTTTCCCCTCAAAAATTAGGGCCCATTTTTGGAGTGATGGGGCAAGACTGGCCCATCCACTTGATGTAGTCAGTGTGTCATTGGCAGGGTCCGAAAATAAAGTTAACCAGAATTGTATACATGAGACTGTGACAGCTATTTTTCTTACCCCACACAAACACACACTCTGAAGCAGAATAATAATCAATCATACTTAGCTCTTATATACTGCTTTTTATCCATAAGTCTTAAAGCACTTTATAAAGGAGGTCAGCTTCCTTATCTCCATTTTACAGAAGTGCTCACCATAGTGGATGGCCATTAACTGTTTTTTCCACGAAGTGCTAACCACTTGAAAGATAGTAAATGATGCATATAACAAGAATATATAACATGCATATATAACAAGTGCCCTGGTTAAATTTCTCTATAGACAGATGGTTGCCAACAATAAAGTGTCTGTTGAGTTCACTGACCAACCGTCCCTCATGGATCCTTGTGCACTGTGCTAATGGATTGTGCATAATATTGTTCAGCCCCTAGCTAGATGTTTGCCAACAGAAGTAATTATTAACAAAAGGCCATATTCTGCTCTCAATTGCTCCTATGCAATCCTAGGGAAGTGTGCATACATATAACTGAGAGTCAGGCCAGTCTAGGCTAAAATGCACAATTACATTCAGAGTTGCTGTCATAGATTTTTATTGTTTTAAGATAATTACAACAATAATAAAAAAATTTAAAGAGAGAGAAAAGATATTGCTTTCAAGACTTGTTTGGTGCTTATCAGTTATCACTGCTGAATTTTATGTCTTTCAGAGGCACTTTAATCAGTCCCTTTATCTGAAATAATATGCCAAACAGTCCTCAGCAAATTCTTCCAAAGCCCATGAGTTGAGATCAGGGCCGGCTCTGGCTTTTTTGCCGCCCCAGGCAAAAAAGCTCCCCCTCCCCC